GGATTTATTTTGGTAGGAATCCCAGTTGGATTCATACAGATGCGGCTGCTGTGCACATTCAAGTGAATCACAGGCTCACAGCGACTGTATCATATAGTCACATATGGAATGATTACCTGTGGATCAGGATATATGCTGGCCTCTGGACACAGACAGATTGCCTCCAGGGACAAGCCTCTTTCCTGATCTGCAGGTAATTATTCCATATGCAAATAAATGTGGACAGCCAAGGATAAATGCAGCCACTGTCAGCCTACCACCCAATTGTGACTGGTCTCTTTAACTAACCATCCAAAGTGAGAAAAATAAAGAGAGCCATGTACCTTACCCTCTTTGTAGCATGCTGTTAAAGGCAGAAATGAGAGGTGCAATTCAACTAAGCCACTGACCTGCTAAAAAAAACATGGAAGCTTATTCTATAAGACAATGTGAAGTCAATGGAAATGTGAAAAATGCAGTAACCCCGAGCAACCTGCTTTCAGATTACTGCAATCAGCCATTTAAGAGGTCATTTTGATTGGCTGCTATGCATTATTGCCCTTTGCAGGTCCTCACTGCTCTTTGCATTGTCATACTAAATAAACCCGAATAAAAGAAAGAAAAACTGCAACAAACACAATAATCTGAGTTTCGTCTTTTCTGCTGCATGTATGGATTGCTTATGGGCAATGATTACACCTTCTGTTCCTTCAGTTCTCCTATACAAGGTTTGATTATAAAAGGCCAGGCTTTGACAACTCATTTTAATGACTTTTATATGTTATATATGAAAACAGCCGAGTTAATTAGCAGCTTGGTGAATTTCCAAGTGCACATGAGGTATGGTTTGAGGCTGTGAACATTGCAAAGGCCCCAGGCATTCTACCAGCAGTAAGGGTCACCGAGCTCTCATCTGCCATCGACGCTGACGTCTCTTCAACCGATAACATGAAAAACTTGAAGGGCCAATTAGATCACATATGACATGAAATTGCATGTTTCTGTGAGGTCTGCTAGGCCATTAGGTGGAAAAATTCACAGAACGTATAATATAGCCTGGCACCTAATGGCTCTGCAAATTAACATTATACAACAGGCAAGCACTGGACACACAGCGCAGTGCGAGAAAGATAAATGCCAATGAACAGTAACAACACAAATTCAATTAGACTTTTTAGTTCAAGCATAAACATTGCTTAAAGACTAAAAACCAAACTGCATAAAATCTGTCTGGAAGGCTACATTGCTCTCTGTGTCGTTGACAGGATACAAACTTTACACCTTCACATGCTGGTTAAGTCTAATTTATACTACTCAGCAATCCCAGTAATTAAAATGGCTATCAACAATTTTCTGCAGTGTGAAGCTGCCATAGACTTTTAATTGCGGTTGGACATGCAGGCACAATCTTATCTGTCAGAAGATGATTTCTCTAAAACATCTTTCTATAACCATGCATACTTGATCAACCAAGCATGCATGTTTATGGCTGCAAAAGGGGGAAATGCAGGAAGACACATCTGACAGGAGTCTTATTCCAGAAAAACTAATCGCAGTGAATGAAAATAAACAAGGGGCCTTTAGTCTTCATAAGATAGGTCAGCAGGACATGTCTGTGGAATTTATTTGGTGTACATTGACATAACTATGTTGTCACTAAAGTACCTAACTAGTACTTTTAGGCACAGTTAACATTGTTGCATTGCAGAGAGGTGCCATTTATTTTGAATGGCACCCCAAAACACTTTACCCTATACACTTTAACTCATGGTAACGCAGTTAGCAGAGGTGCGTTCATTACGGAGGATCAAAGATTTAAGGTTTTGCAGTTAGTGCATGCATTGTATTCTATGAAGATAGAGGAGATGAACTACATACTACTTTCTAGATGGTATCTCACCCTGACTAGGTTGCACTCTATATCTTCAGAGATAGAGTAGCATCTCCATTATGCTGGGTGTAGATCTGTTGCTACCCATGCTCATATCTGGTGGCAATGCCCGATAATTCAGAAATACCAGTCAGAAATTGTTGCTAATTCTGACTCTTTACAGGGGGAACTGGTTCAATTAGACCCATGAGCAATGTTGTTTCACTGTTCAGGTGAGCGATTAGGTAGCTACAAACGGTCTATTGCCCCTCACTTGGTAAGTGCAGCCAACTTCCTAATCCCACTATATTGGAAGCAAGGTGGCTCCACCTTTAAAGTATTGGTTTCAAAAAATACACCAGACGTGTACCCTAGTGAAACTATCCCACGGTCGCAATAACACCCAAGACTGCTTTAGTAGAATCTGGGCCTCTTGGCTGGCCTATAAAACTACTGTGTCTTACCTGGATGTGATAACCTGCTCCTAACTTTTTTGGTAGCACTGGTATCCAGAGAAACCCCTCATATCTTAGAGAACTGTGTTGCACGCCAGGAATCCAACTGCAGATGTTGTTTGGGCTGAGGCCTGGTCCATGTATTGCATTTCCTAACTCTTTTCCTTCATCTATCCTTCTTTGTTCTCACTTTCTTGCGCAATCAGGGTTTTAGAGCAAAAATTCTTGAAAAACTACACCCTGTGTTGAATCAATATGGGACACAGCATTTTATTTTTAAATACAGGACAATCCCATATTATGCCGGTAACCCAATCTGCATCACAAACTGGGGTTCTCAGATTGCTAGATTACTGACAAAAGAGACTGAAGTGGTCTGATGTACCACAGCAATGCTTGAATGAGAAACTAAAGTACTGATCAAAAAGTAGTCTCCAATCCACAGGGTTTAAATTCAGTGAGAAAACAATCTCAGCTTTTCCAAAGAAGGTGAACCAAGAATAACTCGGGATTACTGGCAATATCTGGTTCCATTGTAGACCCTCACATAGGCTGGTTCAATGATCCATCCTATAAATGTAAAACATTTTAGAACACATAATAATGATTAGGGATTTGTATATATGGATCTTTAATCCCATCCATGCCAAATCTGTCACGCACTACTGCAGCCCGCTGGCAGCTCATTAGTGATGTTTATTGTAAATATGTGAGCACCAATAACCCAACAGAAAGGTGGGTAAGAATATGATTCACTCTACATGGTACCAACAATAATGAGGATCTCAGGAAGCATGCATTCTGAGTTTGTTTTGTCAGTTAATTTGAAAATAATTCTGATGTGATTTTCACACTTTGATGCCCTTGATGTTCCCTGTTTTCATTACAGTATTTCATATAAAGATTTCTATATTCACTCTCTCTAGGCCATCTGCAAGTTCAGTCAGAATCCTAACTGAACAACTGCTGAGAAAATAAGATTAGCCTGATGGGACACTTGAGGACCGCAGTCTAGAAACACTGATTTAGAGATTACGCTGTTTTCAGTTTTAATCTTTTGAAAAGGAACATTTAGTGCATCTTAGAAGAGGGAAGTATATTCCATGCAATCACATAGACAGATGATTAGTAATACTAAATATGTGTAACACAGAAATAATGCATTTGTGTTAAACTAAAAGATAAACTCTGCTAATATTTCAGCTATAGTAAAGAAACAAATACTAAAAGAGTGGAGCGGGATCGCAAAGTAGTATTAAAACCTCTTTTTTTGCAGCAACACATTAGAACAGATACATTAGACAGAGCACAGTAACAATTTTTTTTTTTAAAAGAGCATAATCACTAGTCGGATTATTTGGAAAAGTGGGCCCGTGCCCATGGATATATCCTAGATTTTACAGTGGCAGCAGATATATTGGCAAGTGTTATGTTCTTAATTTTTTGTGGTCCATTTTCCTGTTCATGTTGTGTGATTCTTTCTCTATGAACCAGCTTTGTTTGAGGAACTCCTATTGCCTGAGTTTGCTTTGTGGGGGCCATGTTCCCCTTTTCCTGAACGTGTATGATTCCCCACAAGGGACATTAGGCACTCTTTGGCTGTATTACTTTTTACTTTTTCTTGCATTATAAACTTTTTCATGGGTCATGACCTTGATGGGGATTGTGGTTTTTTAATGTCATTGTTTTTTATGAAAATGAAAGAAAAGGTTTGATAAAAAAGAGAAATACTTACAGTAAGTGAGTAAATAAAAGTCACATGATTACTGTACTAGGGTCTACATGTCCCATCAGTTATAGCGCCACCACTGCGCCTGTGTGCCCTGTTAGCTGATGTGAGGACATTGCCTGCGCCGGAACTAACAGGCAGCCAGTAAAGGACAGCAAGAACAGCACCCACCTATTCTCCTTCTCTTCTTCAGCAGCTGTTGTCAATCACTTCCTTTGCATGCATGGAAAGGTGACTCCAGCAGGTCTCCATAGGACCCCACAAGCCATAGAGCCACACTTACAATGGAAATTGGGGACAGCAGTCAGTGGACAGTATGAATAGGGTGCATAGAAAAGCAGAAACTAAGGAAGAAGCTGAAGACAATGTAAGTCCTACCTTCAGCACCCTAAATAAGAAAATAATGTGGGTTTATTTCCATCACACAAGTATGTAAATACAGTTCTACATTCGTAGTCCACTCCATTTATTCTTTCATTCCTTTATTCCAGTTTATGTATAGCCAGAACCTTTTTTTTTCTAGATAATGTAGGGGAGATTTCCCTTTACTTCCTGCCCAAGAGATGCAACAGAAGTGAGAGGAAATCTCCCCTCTCAAACAGTTGTCACTAGAACAAATGCCCCCATTGTTTCTGGTGAAACTGTTAAATGTTCAGTTTCCCAAAATGTTGTGTCCTGGTTACTGTGGTCACCTGGATAAACAGAGGTGGTAAATCTACCTATTGAGGACATAGACAGCAATAAACAGTTGACTGTTTATGTGCCATGCAAACACTTTATACGTAGAACATTTACCCAAAAGTCTGGAGATTGTAAATGATTCCAAATATGTTTTGATACATAAGTGGCTAAAAAAGTGGTTGCTTCAGATCTTCTTATATGTGATCATATCAGTAACACTTATAGCCTATACGAATGTATATGAGATTGTGATAGGAATGACGTTTGTTAGTAATAGGGATGTTACCTGTTGCCTCTTGGTTGCTGCTGGTTGCAGCTGCTGTCACCAGTTCTTGATGAGGTATAGAGCCACTTGAGGACCGTTGACTTGCAATCAGTATTCTGCTCTTTACTGATGGGAGTCTAGACATGGCACCTAGTCCAAGCTGTGGCTTCAGAATCATGGTGGATCTGTAGAAGCTGGGTGGCACCTCGTAATGCGTAAACGTGGAAGAGCGGAAGTCATCCTTTCTCTGTCTGTCACCTGTCTACACACAATGGAAACAGAGAAGATGGTATTACACATCTTTCTTCTGCATGCTAGCACGTGAAAGTAAATTACATTTATCCCTGAAGCAAGATATATCACAACAGACAACTGGTATCTTCATCATGACAAACAATATTTTTCTTTGTAAACTACTACTTATATAAACTTATTTATATCAAATCCCTTGGTTGCATTGTCCTCTCAGGTACTTGGTTCTTAGATCCTAACCTAAAGTGTAATTTCACTTTTGTTAAGATAAAATCAACAGACTGAATCCTGCATGCAAGGGTCTGGTTCATTATAACCATCTGGGAGTATCTCACCATAAATTACATTTCTATTGAAGGGGATGACTAAAATTGTATGTGTATTTTAGTGCAGAAAACAGTAAGCTAATCACGGAAGCGGAAGCAGGAAATAACAATTTTTTATTTTATTTTTGTATTCCTCTTTATTTAATTTTTGACAATTTATAATAATAATAATGATTTGCAACCACATAATTAATAACGTAATTTATAACAACATGATTATACATCCACATACATGCAACTCACATTTAAGATACTGCTAGTTTCACAACTTAGTCCATATTTTAACATTTACATTTCATTGTCAACCTTGAACAATCTCCATATTATATTTACCAAATCTTCAATTAGCTTCCCACATTCCCTTCACCCTCCCCATTTATATTGTGATATTTTCTACCTCCATATTTAGTGTTTCATATTAATTAATTTTGTATATTATTTAGGTGTATTCAAAATAAAGAAAAAAAAAGGACACAGCATTGTTTCTCTCCTGGGCGGCCTGGAGCGGGAGGCTCCCGGAGCGCCAGGGAGAGTTTTTTTTTTTTCGTTTTTTTTTTACAGCAGCAGAGCCGCCGGACAATAGGAAACTATTGGGCGGAGCTAGCTGTCACTGCTAGCTCCGCACAAACGTTTGCTATTTACTTTTTAAACTTTTTTCACTATTTTTCTGTTCTGCTCAGTACCTCTGAGGGACCGAGCAGAACAGCCGAGCTGAATGCCGCTCGGCGGCATTCAACTATTCACTCACTGCTGTTCGGGATCTTTAAGAATAGCCCAAACAGCAGTGAGAAGCCTGCCGGAGGTTCGGCTCAGCCGATCCAGATGTTGGATCGGCTGAGTCGAACTCCTTCTGCACTTCGGGTCGGCCGAACATGCTGAGCATGTTCGGCCGACTCGAAGCCACACGAAGCAAGCCGATGTACGGCTGATTTCAGCTGATGTATGGCTGAAATTAGCCGTACCAGCCTGAAGTGAATAGCCGAACAGTGTTCGGCTCACTTCACTTCAGATCAGTCATTCACTCGGCTGCCCTCGGCAGCTTCGTGAATAGACCCCTTAGTGTTTCATATTAATTAATCTTGTGTATTATTCAGGTGTTTACTCTAAAATATATACAATTTTCACATATTATATCCAAACAAGGAACCCCCTACTACATACTACAATTTCAGTGGCATTCTGTACACCAACAGCATACAGTGTGTGTAAGTATATATGCCACCAAACAAAAATGTACCCAATCAGTAAAGAATTATTAACATGAAAAACAAAGAAAGGCTTGTGAGTCAAAGAGGAAAAGAAAACATCTAATGTATGACGTCTTAACAAAATAGAGTTATATTATTTGTCCCTACCTGTATATGTAGCACAAGACAATACATTTATCATATCTTAGTCATTCGTACTATCCAGGGCCTTGTGTATCCTCAAGCTTATCAAGCATAAAAAAAAATATAGGTCCATTTGTAGCAATCAATAAGACGTTTCTACCAAAAGCCCAGAATACCTATCAAGTCAAAAAACATTTTACCTAGGAGATAAGGTCTTAAAGCGGAACTTGACCTACCAATGTAATGGTTTCCCAAAACCATTTACATTCAAGGCATGCCAAATGTCAAGGTTGCCAGGGTGCTTATCAGATTTCAACTGAACTTTCATGACCTCTAATGTCTGTTGTCATAGCTGATCACATGTGCAGCGCCATGGCAACTGCAAGAGGTTGTAGTTTCTCTTTAACCAAATTTAGATGGATTAGCCAACAGTTCCTGCATGTATCCCTGTAGTCAATGGACAACAGTCAACAATATTCTCAATTAAATATTTATATAGAGTGAGTGTATGAAAGCTGTAGGCAGCACCGGGAAATCAAACGAATGGTTGAAGCCACCTGGTATGTCATTAAGATGACAGAAAAGTCACTCCATATATGAAGGTGATCACTGAGGTCATTTAATGCATCATTGCCATTGTTAGAGGAGCCTTCACTCTTATGTACAGTATGTATCCATGAGCATCGCTAGCATCGGACACCCATAGCAAGTGCCTTCCATCTCTTGCAGATTGCCCCAAGTCCCAGCACTGTGACAGCCCCACTTTTTTTTAATTTCTTCATTGGCTTGTTCTGCATATCATACCTCAGATACCGTGAGGATCTGTGCATTATTATTATTATTATACAGGATTTATATAGCACCAACAGTTTGCATTACATACTCCTCACTAAAGTGTCTATTGTCTCAACAACTGCTGGTTGCTAAGTAGTTACTGACTTTTCTAATGAAGTTCTTCTTTAAGGTAGGCTGTGTGCAGTACAGCCTATATAATGAAAAAATAGAAAAAAAAATATTGTGCTAATGTTTGTTTGTGTCTGTTAGAATTGTACTTGTGGCACAGTAACTAAAGCACATTTTTAAGGTATAAGGACTGTGGCATATGTGTGTCATGTATATGGCCAATAAGCTCAGGTTTTATTTAACCATGCCCTTTTAAGCCCCTGTTATTGCAGCTTGACCACACCCACCACATGGTATGTTAACCTTACCAACTAATTTCTCCCCTTTGGGTGCCCCGGGTCTTTCACAACCCTAGCAATGCACCTATCTGGGTCAAAATCCAGCATATAATTAATGTGTACATCCTTTTAGAGTCAGTTGCAGGTAAAAGTTGCAGCAGCGTAAGTTTATAGAATTTTCATTGGAATAATTGCAGTCTATTTGAAATCATGTGCACTCCATCAAGTTGTGGGATCACTGTAGTTGAGTTCTGTCTATAGATTTAATGTGACTGACGTGAATTATAAACCAAATATGCAGGGATTAATGCAGTAATCTAAGATAAATATCTTGTTTGCAAGTTCCTGATAAAGGCCCAGAAATATATATTTTGGCCTCTGAGATAGCAAAGAATATCAGTAAATAATCTGGAGCCTACAGCATAAGTTTATATCTTCTGTAATGTTCACAGACCTACACTACCTAAATATGTGCATCATATAGAAGCAGTTTCTTCGGCAGGTAAATCCAAGTGCACCACTAGGGCAGTTACGTGCGGTGCCTTCCGTGCTGGGTGAGGCATTCCCCCAGCCCCACCTCCAACATGTCCTGCCCCCAGCCCAACAAAGCCCCGCCCCCAACCCGGTCGCCAAGCTACATGTGAAGGAGGGAGGGAGGAGGAAGGGAGGAGACAGTTTCTCACTTGCTCGTCACTGGTGAGGCATTAAGGATTGATGTCCTTAATGGGTTTTTTTTGATTGGACAGCTTGGACCAATGGCGCTTTGCCATTGGTCCAAACCATCCACAGGGCTCAAGCCTCTAACATGGAGTAGAGGCTGTTGCACCTCTGGCCTCACTATGTTAGGTTACACAAGCAGTGGGGAAGCCAGCTGCTGTGTAACCTAACTAGTTGTCAAAAGCCAGATGCAGCTCTCCGTCCATGACAGGTTACATAGTGGGGAGGCTTTCCCTGCTGTGTAACCTGCTAGAAGCCGATCTGAATGGAGAAAAAGTTGTCAGCTTCAGACTTGAAGCTGACAGCTTTTTCCTCCATACTAGTTGAGACTCTGCCTCACCTGCCTCCCCTGACCGCACGTCCCTGCACTAGGGGTAAAGTTGATCATGCAGATATGTACTAACATCATAAACAATACACCCAACCAGAGCTTGATGAAAGACTGCTCTGATCTGAAAAGGGCTGGTCTGTCCAAAATCTTGTGAAGACCGGAAACTAAAGTGGACTGAAGACGGGTAACCAGGAAGTCCACTGTGTAGAAAAAAAATACATCTCTTTACAGGTTTTACTGATAAGTGTGGCTTGAGTGTCCAAAAAGGGGTCTATGCTATCCATCATAAAGGCTACTGTGATGGGACACATGCCACAATGTCAGGGCCGGTCCTGAACTAAAAAAGGTTAGACTATTCCTCTGCATAAAGCGACATAGGGTTTCAAATGTCAATGTGCTCATCTAGTGACCGAAGAAACACAAAAGAACAAATCACAATGATAATAGCTTTAATATTCTCATCATATATAAATATTGCTTCAGGAATATACAGTAATAGACTACTGTCCATCAACTAAAGACTGTCTATGTCCAGGTATATATGCATGTGCAGGTGTATGGACATACCAGAGCATACTCGACTACAGTCGCGTAAAGGCAGTGGCTTATATGGGAGGCTTTACACAGCAACTGTGGCTCTCTGGCAGGGGATATAAAGTTAAATTTAAATACGGGGGCTCCCTTTCTTGATTGGAGACAGCAGACAGCAGATGTTGTCAAGGATAACTGTATCCCCTTGAAGGGGCCTCTAACAGATCCAAACCCAACAACTAAAATCTCATAACAAGAGGAAGCATGCTGGCTCGAGTGTTTGAGTAAGTGACCCTGGAAGTGTAAGTGAAGGGAGCTTGACCTGTGTCCCGGAGGTTTTTGTTAACACAAGATATGTTGTGTTAAATGAGAAGAGGTTGATTCATGCATTAGGCTAAGTGTGAGCATAGCCAGGAGGTGATTTAGAGGCTTTTTTTTTTTTGCACATTTGTATGCCCATTTTTCTAGCATTTTTATGCGTGACATACTGCAGGAAAAGAATCATACATTTTTGGCTCCTGAGACATTTATAGATGTGAGCACCAAAAAAATGTGCGCAAACACAAGTTTTTCCAGGGTTTTTTTAGGAACTC